GGGTTAGGGTTTAGGGTCAGGGTTTAGGGTTTAGGGTTTCGGGTTTCGGGTTTAGGGTTTAGGGTTTAGTAGTTTTTCCCATGTAGTGTCTATATACATAGTTGTGGTATGCACCACGCCAAAACCAAATTCCAAATTGTTGATGCCCCTGTATGAGTCGCTTTGCTCTCCTTCTTCAGATGTTGGTGCATCTCACCCTAAACCCTAAACCCTAAATCAAGCCAGGTGGAGGAGAAGCCGAAGAAGGAAGAGAAGAAGGCGGTGCCCCCGGCGGCAGTTTGGGTTTATAGCTAGAGGATGGTAGGGTTTAGGGTTTAGGGTTTAGGGAACTACAACCCAACGCTTCGTGCGCTCTTGGTCTGCTGCCCAGGTTCGAATTGTCTCCTTGAGAAGCGAGGCCGGATTGCAGCAAACCTTCTTCCAATCAGCAACAGTATACGACTTTAGGGTTAATGGTAGTAGTCGTCGTAGTAGGTACTACTAGTACTACTACAACGACGACGGTGACGCCTGCCAATGCTACTAGTGCTTGTAGCTGAGCCGCTTTTGCACTTCACCAGGGAAAGCTCGTCGGACGGCAAGTAAAACTGGACATGTTCGGGGAGCAGAAGAAGTCCTCCGCACAGAAGAAGGAAGCGTTGGGGCCTCAGGCACACTTTGTGCGACTGTGCGATTTGAAGCAATCTGGGGTAACGGCATCTCGCAGGTCAAGATTTCAGGTGGAATTGAGGCTTTCGGTTGCAGCCATGGCGTAGCCCTCGATCCTGAAGCCTCCAACCCTATGGAGGAATTCCGTGGAAAGGCGTCATAGCATCAGTCTGCTGTCTCGCAGCAGATGGGTACCAGAAGCCCTACACCCCAAATCTGTTCTGTTTAGCAAGTACAACCTGCTTAGCAAGGAACTCGGACGAGGAAGAAGAGGAAGAGCAACCCTCAACAGTCCAGTTCTGCCCGTGCCTTACATTGTTGGCTCAGTGATATCACGGGTGCTACTTTCGTGGCCATCAGCATGATATTAATTCTTGCTGCATTTAGTGTGGCCGGGGTGTTGTTTCTGTGACCAGCATGATGACAGTTCCACTCTTACCGATAGTGTTCTTATTGCCGAAAGCATGCTAGGAATAGTATTACGACTGGTCTTGCAACCACTGCAGTCACCATAATTATGGCACCGCACCGCTTTGATGCCTCTTGCTGTTCCATTTTCTTGGTTTGATTTCCTCTTCAGACAGTGAGCTCATTGCCGAAGCTTTCATTGCTGCTATCAACTACATGGCGACGACAACCACTACTACCACTACCGCTACCGCGCCACAACCACGTTCTTGACCAAGGCGACGACTACGACTCGGACCACCTTCTAACTACTGCTACCGCTGCCGCTACTGCTTCTTGCCTCCGACGCCCACTCCCGCTGGTGAGACGGCGACCGTACCACTACCATTACCACTTAGTCACTACCACTACAAAACCACGACTACTCCTCCGCCTGCTCCTGCTCCTGCTCCCACTCTTACTCCTACACCTACTCCTACTGCTTCCCGTGCTCCTTCTCCAACCACTGTTGCTGGTACTACAGTAATACTACTGCTAGCGCTAATGTTACTTATACTGCTACACCCCATAGCAAAAAACTCAAACCGAGGAAATGCCGAATCATGTAAACCCCAAACACCCTCAGCTGCCAGCATCACTCCAGGCTTTGATGGTGCCGTGACGGACGAAAGTGCGGCTCAACAGCATATCCCTAAACCCTAAACCCTAAACCCTAAACATATCAGGCTTCAAGGCTTTCAGGAGAGCCATCCGAACCCGTGGGTGTATTCCTAAAGACAGGGCTTTGCCACTGAAGCCACGAAGCTTTTTGCGAGGAGCGACTTGCACGAGAGAAGCGAAGATAGTACCGGACCCTAAACCCTAAACCCTAAACCCTAAACCCTAAGCCCTAAGCCCTAAACCCTAAACCCTAAGCCCTAAGCCCTAAGCTCTAAACCGTAAACCCTAAACCCTAAACCCTAAATCTCAAGCCTGACAGAGACGAAACGTCGCATCCCACGCGACCCGTATGCTTCAGAGGCTGCTAGGACAATCCGGTCTGACTCTCGTCCTGACCTCTCAAAACTGTCTGTTCTAAGCTGCTACATGGGTTTACGGTTTCGGGTTTAGGGTTTAGGGTAGTTCTCTAAACTAGGTTCCCTTTCAGGATCCTTCTATTAAGGGTGCCGTACTACTTTGGGGACCTAAGAGGGACCCTGATTTAGAGAACTACCCAAATTCTTTCTTAGGAAAGAAAAGCCGTAGATTAAGGTCAACTCTCACAGTTGATTCTACGGTTTTTAAGGGGGCCTTCAGAAAAAGGGTCCCTGGGGTTTAGGGTTTAGGGT